GATTCCAGTTGGGTCTCAAGCTAGAGGCAGGTGGTTTGCTGTATAGATTAGAAAAAAAAGGAAAGGAAAGATAGCTTAATATCACTATCAGAGGAGATGATTGAATCATTTATAATGAGATGGGGAATAAAATTTTTTCTGCGGTGATAGGAGGCCACTTTGTGAAAGAAGGCTGAGTTGTTATCCCCTTCTTTAAGCCACTGAATACGGGACCTTTGTTTCCATTTTATCTCTTCAGCGTTAGCGAGAGAGAGGACCTGATCCTTTAAATCAGATCTAAGATGGAGCTCTGAAGAGGAAAGGTCCCTCGATTCTTCGGAGACATCAAGAGAGTGAATTTGGGACATGAGATCAGAGAGATGATGGGGGAGGGATCTGAAGCAAAACCTTTTCCACCATTTGATTCTCCTCTTAATGAGTTTTAGCTTGGCAGGAAGGGACATGGTCTGTTCCCCTCTAGGAGAGAAGGAAGCCCAACTGGATTCAATGAAGGAAAGGAAAGAGGGGATTGATAACCACATTTTTTCGAGTCTGAAGAGAGGAGGGACAACAGGAGAGTTGGTATCCAACAAGACTGGACAGTGATCTGAACATTGAGCTGGATAAGCAAACTGGACCATTTGAGGAAATTTAGTTTCAAAGTCCAAGGAAACTAAGAATCTATCCAATCTAGCTAAGGATGGGGGGGATCTAAGGTTAGACCAGGTGAATTTCCTCCCACTGAGGGGGAGGTCTATCAGATGAACCGAGTCAATGAGGCGCTGAAAAACTTTAATATCTCTAAGGGAGCTGGAACGACCACTTCTTTCCTCTGAACTCAAGGTCATGTTGAAGTCACCAAAAACAACCCATGGCAAAGCATGAGAACTTCTAATCCTCTTGATTTCCCACCAGCAAACTTCCCTATCAGATGGATCACAAGGGGCGTAGATGGAAGTAGCTACGAAGCTCCAATTTGAAGGTTTATGAGTGAGGGTAGCCGTAACAGAGAAAATGTCTGAGGACGAGGAGGAGCAGGAAAAGATGTCATCGTTCCATCCTAGGAGAACACCCCCCCCTCGAGTCTGATGCATCAAGAGATAACCAAGAAGTAATAGAGTTTCCCCCTAAGGATTTAAGGAAAGAGGGGTTGGAGGCTGATATTTTTGATTCCTGAAGACCGACCAGGTTTACTTTGGCAAGGGCAAGACACTCCCTGACCAACCTACGTTTAGCAGGGTCGTTTAACCCGCGAACATTCCAAGATCCTATACGCATGGATAAACGGAAGAAGACAACTTAGAGAAATGAGGAGGGAGGGGGCTCAGAGGGGAAGGTCCCCTAAAGACATCCTATTCTGGATCTCCTTCAAACCAGACTTATCTACTGGAGCTAGAATGCCACAGTTCACTGAGATCTCTTCCAAAGAGTCCAGGTCCGGTGGGGGAATGGGAGGAGTGGAAACAGAGGAAGAGGAGTATGGTTTAGATATACCTGAAAGCTTACCCTTCTTGATCATGGCTAGATGTTTCCTGAAAGGCCGGTGCGAGGGGTTGCTGCTTGAGATTTTTTTCTTGGTTCGTTTGGACTTCTTCTTGGCCGGTTCGAAACCAGGGGGAATATCAGAGGAAGAGTTCTGGTCCTTAGAGTCTGTGGAGCTGATCTGGATGGCAGAGTCTCCTTTTGGGGATAAAGACGGAACGTCTACCAGATGTGGGAAAGCTGCTTTGAGAGAGAACCAGGAATCTTTGGAGATGTCGATCGTAATACCTTTGAAAGAGACCGCCATGAGCTCAGGCGGAGCTGGAACTGATGGGGGGAGAGGAGGAGGATTTGAGCCATCTTCTTCCAACATTGGGCTTTTTCCTTTTAAGGAGGCCTGATTTGGTCTCGGGGATAGAGACAAGTGGCTCTGGCGAGGGCATTGGAGGGGCTGATCTTTGGGAGGAGGGGATGAGGCACCTTCTTTACGAACAAAGACTTCGAAGAGATCCCGATCTCTTCCTTTTTCCGCTGGCAGTGGCTCACCTACCACTCTCAGTTTGACTGATCCTTCCATGATATGAACTCCATTTTCTGCTTCATACCTGAATATGACTTCTTGGGGGATTTCAGAGGGATCCCTAACATGCAGCATAGCTTTGCAAGCTAGGGCTTCTCTCTTAAGCATGATATCGTCGGAGAAAGCAATGACATCTCCTATGTCCACAAGAATACTGGTAATGAACTCCGAGTCCCATAGATGAATGGGGAGACCAATAATTTCTACCCAGACATAAAAAAATTTCGGAAGCACTTTAAGGCCAAAAGACTCTGACCAGGGGGTGAAAATACCCCCAAAGTTACCCAAGTTGAAGAAGGGTTTAGAACAAGCATGATCCAACGTCTCCTCGTCCGGGAACTGGATGAAGTAGGAGTTCTCCGAGGATTGCCTAATCACATAGGTCCATTTCTCTACCTTGAGATGGCGCTCCAAGCTCTCCACCAGATCTGGATAGGAGGGCTTTCCAGACTTGATCTGAAGGTGCGCAAATCTCGAGAACTCAACCAGACTCGAACTAACAGAAGGGGGGAGAGAGACTTTTGGGAGGAAAAGAGGAGGGGGAGGTGGTGGGGGTATCTGAGGGGGGAGGCTGAGTAAAGGAGGCTGCTTTTTGTTAGGGCAACTAACTGAGGTATGCCCTACAAGGTTGCAGGCAAAGCATTTGAAGTCTCCAAGAGAGCATTTGTTGGCCATGTGATCAGATCTACCACAAAGGAAGCACCTTGGGATCTTGGGGGGTAGAGAGGCTTTGAGAGAGAGGAAGGTGATCTCGGTCTCTTAAATCTCTTTTTGTATGAAACTGTAGTCCAGCCCAACTCAGGAGTAGGTAGAAGGCCTTTCGTAAGAGGTGGAGAGGTAGAAGAGGGGGGGGGGGGGGGGGTGGCTTCAAGATCTCGGCAAAGGATGGTTTTGGGGTTTTGATTTGAGGGTTATGAAGGGTTAGGGGACGGGATTGAAAGGAGGATTTTTTGTGGTGGGTTACGTTTGGAGGAGGAGCTAGGTTAGGGTATGGAGACGAAGAGGAGGGGAAGAGAGGTGAAATGGTGATCTTACCGCCATTAATTGAAACTAGGCGCCGCTTAGGGAAACTCACCACCGCCTGCGCCCTGTCGCCTCGCTTGTCGCCTCGCCTGTCCATCTTCGTTTATATTTTGTCACGCTATAAAAGTAATGAGTTATGATGGTTATAATACTAAAATTTTTAAATGTATTAGATTAATTACATTGAATTTTAAAATTGTAAATATAAAAAATTGACTATAACGTAAGCTCTATTCTTTTGAACATATAAAATCTTGCAACTATTTTAATAAAATAAAATGAACAATATTCTTCTCTCTTTACCAAATTAACAATGCTCTTAGTTATTTTTCAAAGCCACACAAGTAACAAAAATAACAAACATGCATGTACATTATCAATTTACTACATTTCAAAACCTCCGTTTGGAAAATATTGACCTTAGTACGTATATATGATGGAGAAGTCGCAATTGCAAAACATATATGAAATTAATCATCCTAGTAAAAGAAGAAGAAGAAGAAAGATCTTGTTACTCATCTACAGTCGCAGAAGTCAACGTCTTCCAGCCATCACTGACGCTTATGTTTCCTCTTATTATCATGACACTGCTTCCTTCCCCATACAACGCTATATTTGTTTTATAGCGTGGAACTTCAATATACTCATCATAAATACCTGCTCTAATTCTTGCATTTCTAGTATTTATAAGTATTGACATTTTTTTGGTTAGTTTTTGTAAATTTTAAATGTCAACAGTTTAATAATAAAGGGTTTAAAGTTAAACGTGTTAGCGGGTTGACCCGTTGATAACCCAATTGATAAATTGGTTTTTTGAGTTGATTTGTTCAAGAGAGGACCCATATAAAATAACTCATACTCATTTATAACGGATTAGATTGTACCGGGTGAGCGGGTTGAGTCATAAATTGCAATGGAAGAGAAAACAACTTTCATGCTATAAAAAAAATACGAATTGAGTTGCAAACGGGCCACTGTTTTTTGATTTTGTTGTAAAGCTACCTTCTATTATTGTTTAATTCAGGTGCAGAAGTATCTCTATAGTTTCAGTTTACACTAGTAGAAAATTACGTATCCTAGACGAAATATTCTAGACGGAAAATTTTTCGTCTAGTTTGCTATTAAACTAGACGGAAATTTCCGTATAGAATATTCCATCTAGGATAAAACATCCTAGATGGAAATTTCCGTCTAGGATAACAAAGTAGACGGTTTTTTTATTTTTAATTATTTTTAAAAATGAGCCAGCTATCCTAGACGAAAATTTCTGTCTAGGATGTATCCTAGAAGGAAATTTCAGTCTAGAATACTTGACCCATTTTTAAAAAAAATTTAACCCATCAAAACCTAGCCACCACCCTTTCCCCCCAAAATTTCGCCGCCCACCTTTTCACCTAAAATCGAAATTTTAAGCAAAAATCTATCTTTCTCCTCCTACTCTTCTCCCCCTCTCTTCTCACCACCCTCTCCGGCAAAATCCGCTCCCTCTCTCCCAAACCCATTACACCCCACCCGAATCCGACTCCAACTCCATCAAATCCCTCCTCCCCCAAAACGGAGCCTTCTCCTCACCCGAACAAACCCTAGATTTCCTCCTTTGCCTCTGTTTCCTCTTCTCGCCCCTGCTCACTTCCCAATCCTCAATGCACCTCTCTATCCTCAACAGTTCTCGAAACATCGGCCGACGAGCTCACGGCGAAGGCAAAAAGAAAAGAAACAAACAATATTGAAAAGAATATGGTTTTCTTTGATGATGTGTATTGATTCATAACATCAATATATATACAGATGTGATATATTATAAATGGAAATAAATCCCATGATTTAAGCTCTAATCAGCCAGCACATTTGCTATTATGTAGGATCTGAAATATAGGCATGTTGGCTAATTTACAGGGAAAGATTAAGGGGCTATGATCAAGCTTAGAATCAGCTATCAATTATCCTCATTCAATTCCTTTTCTTCAATACTCCCCTTCAAACTGGTCTGGGTTTGTTGCAGAAGACCAAGTTTGGTTTTCAACACATTGAATTGATCTCTAGGTAAAGGCTTGGTGAAGAGATCAGCAAGCTGCTGTTTGGAACTAACAAAGCGCGTGACAAGAGAACCAAGAGCGACCTTCTCCCTTACAAAATGATAATCAATCTCTATATGCTTAGTTCTAGCATGGAAGACCGGATTAACTATCATGTGAAGTGCAACCATATTGTCACAAAATAAAAGTGCAGTTGCGACTGGAAAATCCTAATATCACGAAGCACAAAGCACAACCATGTGAGTTCTACAGTAGTTGAAGCTAAGGCTCGATATTCTGCTTCAGCGCTTGACCTGGACACTGTGGGTTGTTTCTTAGCACTCCAAGAAATACAATTTGCACCCAAAAAGGTACAATAGCCTGCAGTAGAACGACGAGTCTCTTTACAACCTGCCCAATCTGCGTCACTGAATTCATATAGATCAAGTGTACTGTGAGCTAAAATTCGCATGCCATGACTCAAAGAACCCTTCACATATCTGAGTATCCTTTTGACCATCTGATAGTGAGCATTTGTTGGTGCTTGCATATGTTGACATACGATGTTGACAGCATAAGAAATATCAGGTCTTGTTAGAGTAAGATATTGTAAGGCTCCCACATGGCTATGATATAACTTTGCATCAGAGAATAAATTGTCACTTCCTTGTGAAAGGGAAGGTTTTGCTACCATTGGTGTCGCAATGGGTTTACAATCACTCATGGAAGCACGATGCAACAATTCTGAAGCATTGTAGGCTGTCTAAAAATCACAACAGATAGCTGATTCTCATCAAACACTGATGATGGAAGTTACAATTTGACGGCTTCCAGAAGGCTATAATTTGAAGACTTTTACGTAGATCGATGAAGGTTACAATCTGACGACCTTCGCAACAACTGATGAAAGCTCTAATCAACAGCCTTCACAATCAACATCGGGAGTTACAATCTGACGACTCTCATATTTTCAAGCAGCCAAGACGAAGGTTACAAGGTGATGATCTTTGCAACGCTCTAGCAAAAGAGACTACAAATCGACGGTCTCTTCAAACCAAAACGCGGATATCTCTCAAACCGTAAGGAATTTTGCAAAATTGACAGAGCAAACTGAACCCTATGAGGTTAGTTTGGTCGGCTCCATCTCGTCGAGATAGCCGATTTTCATATATAATTCATCCCATTCCGACTTACGGTTTGAAAGTTATGACATGTTCTTCGCAGTAAGTTATGTTCTGAAGTCCGTCTGTGAGACTGCACTTCGCCTGAACATTGGACTTAGCCTGAAGCTCACCGAACACGCCTGAGGCTCACCTCTGCATCCAAGATTCAAAACGCAGAGGTCATGCCCGCGTTCTGAACTCAAAACGCAGAGGTCATGCCCGTGTTCTAAACTCAAAACGCAGAGGTCGTGACCGCATTTGAGATTCAAAATGCAGAGGTCGTGGCTGCGTTCCAAACTCAAAACGCAGATTTTGTGGACTCAAAACGCAGAGTTCATGCAGAGCCCAACTCTGCGTCCCAGGTCCAAAACGCAGAGTTCATCTCTGCGTCTCAGATGCCAAAACGCAGAGTTCATCTCTGCGTCTTTGATGCCAAAACGCAGAATTCATCTCTGCATCCCAACTCTACGTTTCAGATTTACAACGCAGCGCGACCTATGCGTTCAGCCACCAAAATAGGCCTAACTCTGCGTTTTTAGTCTAAAAACGCAGAGTTCAGGCCATGAACGCTATTTTTCAGCGTTTGACTCGTTCAAAGCACGAATTGAAAGGTTTCAAAACCGTTTTCCTCACGATTTAGGGAACTTTTTAAGGGGGTGATTACACCCCCATTCAGCCCTACTTAGGAGCGAATTAAGGGGGCGGTTACATCCCTTAATCTCCTATAAATAGGGGTAAACTCAACCGAGTTAAGGGCTGGCTTTTGGGATCTTGGATCTGGGAATTTTGGAGATCAAAAGGCCCTCTTTTAGAGATCGGCTGGACTTCTTCATATCTTCTTGGAGCTTTGGAGATCAGCAACTTGAAGAAACTCTTGAGTCATCTTGGAAGGCTTTTAGTGAAGCCTTTGAGATTATTCGGCTTAGCTTGGCTTGTGAACTCTTTCTAAGAGTTCTTCTCAACTCGATCAGAGTTCAAAACTTGCTATGCAAGTTCTTCTAAAACTCGCTCTGAGTTATTAACTCGTTAAGAGTTATTTTCAAAACTTGCTCTGCAAGTTCTTCTAAAACTCGCTCTGAGTTATTAACTCGTTAAGAGTTATTTTCAAACTTGCCACGCAAGTTCTCCACAACGTCAAATCGTGAGGAGAAGATATCGTTCCAGTGAATCAAGACGTTCGGATCGTCAACGGAGAGCAAACTCGATGCGAGCATTCGAGGGAGGCACTCCATGGCCACCGTAAAGAACCTAGAATTAAACAAAGGGGAGAATTCAAATTCATTCTCCTCTCTTTTGTAATCAGGAAATCCAATTGTAACTGAGATTAAAGGAATACAAATCAATTTTTCTTTCGTTTCTTTTACTGCAAATTTTTCCACAAACAAGCATACCTAGTTTGAGAAAGAAAGAGTCCTTTGGCATTTCGAGTAACTTCAATTCCAAGGAAGTAGTGCCCCCCCACCCGCCACAACAGCGAGCGAACAATCCCTCCTCCAAACTAGCAAAGAATGAATGGGTCTGCGTCAAAAGGACCCACTCGACTCTTTAGGAGCGAATTCAGAAACGCCGCACATTGCTGGCGCAAGCAAGAATTCTTATGCAAGAATCCAAAAAATTGCAGAAGGAATAAGTGGAAAAGAAGCCACCAAGACTACACAAAGTATGGGTCATGAATCAAAGCAGTAATGAGGGAATCCGAGCTACCTGTTAGGATGATATCATCAACGTAGAGAAGAACAATAAGTACGTGATTATCATGATGATATACGAACATTGAAGGATCAGCAACGCTATAATAAAATCCACAATTCAGTAAAAATTCACTGAAACAGTCAAACCAGGCTCTCGGTGCTTGTTTCAGTCCATATAATACCCTTTTAAGACAGCAAACATGTCGAGGACGTAAGGAATCAACATAGCCTGGTGGCTGCTCCATGAAAACCGGAATATCAAGATTTCCATGAAGGAAAGCATTCTTGACATCAAGTTGACAAATTATCCAACCACGAACAATAGCTACAGTGAGAACAATGTGAATGCTTCCTGGTCTTATCACAGGGCTAAATGTCTCCATAAAATCAACACCTTCTTCTTGATTGTACCCTTTCGCCACCAATCGTGCCTTAAGACGGTCAAGAGTACCATTTGCTTTGAGTTTTGTCTTGAAAACCCAACGACACCCAACAATATTCATTGTTTCTAAGCGAGGAACTAGATCACATGTTTGATTTGATGCGAGAGCTTTCATCTCCTCATCCATAGCTAGCTTCCAACCTGGATGCTTGAGAGCAGATTTAACAGTACGAGGCTCAGAAGGAATATTGATGACAGTAAGATTAACATATTTGGGATTAGGCTTGAGTATGCCATGTCTTGAACGTGTCACCATGCCATGAGATTGATCACTAGCCACTGGTTGAGAATTATCTTCGTCTTGTGGAATTGAGGAACTTTGTTGCGCATCCTCTTGAGATTCCACAATAGAAGAGGTTTGTTGCTCGTGAGTCTCCAGAGAAGTTTCTTGTGCTGGAATTTGTTGAACATGAGCTTCTTGTTCTGGAGTTTGTTGAACAGAAAATTCTTGAGGATTATCATGTTGCTCAAAATCGGTAGCTTGAGTATGGGTAGTAGAAGAATCTCTAAACATCCTTGCTCGTTCCATTCTACTGTCAGTGTTAGAATCACTTGGGCAATTATGAAGCCAAGTTGCAGTAGTATAGGGCTCCCCTTCACCTTGTGCTACACGAGGAATTTTAGAATTGACAGCAAAAGGAAAATTGGCTTCATCAAAGATCACATATCTAGAGATGTAAACACGTCCAGTAGGAATATATAGACAACGATATCCCTTATGTTTGTCACTGTATCCTAAAAATACACATGGCAGAGATCTTTTGTCAAACTTGTTAGAAGCATTATGCCTTAAGTATGGATAACAACATGCACCAAAGGTTCGGAGAAAAGTATAATCAACTTGCTTCTTGTAAAGTATTACAAATGGAGATCTCATGTTAAGAGTTGAAGAGGGCAAACGATTAATCAGGAAATTTGATGTAGTAAAAGCTTCAACCCAATATCGACATGGAACTGAACTATGTAAGAGCATTGCAAGTCCTAATTCAACTATATGTCGGTGTTTACGCTCAGCAACACCATTTTGCTCAGGTGTTCCAGGACAAGACATTTGATGTTTAATTCCATAATTAGCCAAGTTCTCCACAAACTCAGTCTTATTAAACTCTCCTCCACCATATGACTGAAAGTTTTTGATTTTCTTGTCAAATTCATTCTAAACCAGTTTATGAAATTTCAAGAAAACACCAAAGAAATCTGATTTTCTTCTCAAAGGATAAAGCCAAGAATATCTAGAAAAATCATCAATTAACGCAACATAATACTTGAACTGTTGTACTAAAGAAAGAGGAGCTGGTCCCCACAGATCACAGTGAATCTTTTGTAAAGGAGACTCTGAAAAAAGACTTTGAAGAAGTAAAAGGGAGCTTAGTACTCTTGCTTAGCTGACAACTTTCGCATAAACCATGGAAACTTTTATTAACTCTAATAAATTTATTCTTGCACAGAAACTGAAATACTTGTTGATTAGGATGCCCAAGCCTCCGATGCCAGACTTCCTCATTTGCTACTTGAGATCTGTTAGAGAAAAAAGCTAAACTTGGTGGCTTGTCCAAGGCATACAATCCTCCTCGCTTAGTTCCCATTGCTAGAACCTGTCTTGTCTTCAGATCCTTGATTGCAAAGTTATTTTTGTCAAATTCAAAATAACATGGATAGTCTTGAGTAAGTTGAGAAACAGATAGTAAATTTTTCTTAATATCTGGCACAACTAGTACATCTTTCAGAGGAATATCATGTGAACTAGTAGAAATGTGACCCACTCCAATATGTGAAATTGGAAGACATTTTCCATCTCCAATCATAACAGAATCACTACCATAATAAGGCACCAAATTTTGAAGCTTACCAGGATTATCAGTGACATGAGCTGCGGCTCCAGTATCAGGATACCAATCTGTAATTTGTTCTTCTGTCAAGTGAGTAGCTGCCATGGCATGTGGTAGTTCCTCTGCTTGATAACTATTGTTAAAACGATGCCAACATCTCAAAGCATCATGCCCAACCTTTTTGTAGATTTGACAAACTAGTGAATTGGGACGAGTGCTGCTTGATTGCTTGTTTGTTGAGGATTCAATGCTGCGAGAACTTTGATTCGAAGGAGAGAATCCTTGCCCCTTGGAAGTAAAAGAGGAGAAACCATCACCATTAGTATTGTAACGTTTAAAATGATTTTTGTTACCTTCATTATTATAACGATTTCCTCCATGTCGATGAGGTCCGTTGTTTCTTTGTGAGATGAAAGCCAATGACTGATCTGAATTAGATAGACTCTTCTTATTGCGTAATTCAAAGCTTTGCAACAAGGGAACAATCTCAGCATAAGAGGGCAGTGGAGGGCGAAGCATTGTTGTTGTGAAAGCTTCATATTTAAGACCAAGGCCTTCCAGCAATCGATATACCTTTGTGTCATCTGAAACTGGCTTTCCAATATAGCATTCAACTGATCACAAATAGACTTGAATTCTCTCAAATAATTAGCCAATGGTTTGGTCCCTTTCTCAACCTGTTGAAGTTGAGACATTAATTCAAATTCTCTTGCGACACTACTTTGAGTAAAATGCTCGGTTAAAGAGTTCCATACCTAGGCTGCTGTTGACAACCCTACGGCAAGGCCAAGAACATCTTCTGAAAGAGTCCTTATAACCCATGATTTCACCAGTCGATCTATGCGAACCCAGGAAACATAGGCTGGGTTTGTTGACTCCTTCTCTGTGCCTATATCGTTTATGGCTGAAGGAGCAACTTTTTCACCAGTTAGAAAACCAAGTAAGTCCTGAGATTCAACCAGAGACATTACTTGTGTTTCCCACAATAAATAATTATTTTCATTGAGTTTGAGTGTGACAAAATTGGCAATGTTGATATTGGAGGGAAAGGGATATGTGTTTTGGGAAGACATGGCTGAACAAGAGAAGGTTTAGCGTGCTCTTGTATGGCTCTGGTACCAAAAAGAAAAGAAACAAACAATATTGAAAAGAATATGGTTTTCTATGATGATGAGTATTGATTCATAACATCAATATATATACAGATGTGATATATTATAAATGGAAATAAATCCCATGATTTGTATTGATTCATAACATCAATATATATACAGATGTGATATATTATAAATGGAAATAAATCCCATGATTTAAGCTCTAATCAGCCAGCACATTTGCTATTATGTAGGATCTGAAATATAAGCATGCTGGCTAATTTACAGGGAAAGATTAAGGGTCTATGATCAAGCTTAGAATCAGCTATCAATTATCCTCATTCAATTCCTTTTCTTCAATAGAGCGGAGGCAACTGAGGAAAGAGAGGAGAGAGAGCAAGGCTGGAGATAGAAACTGGAGAGAGGAGGTAGAAGAAAGGTTAATGGTGAAGCCCAAGAAAGAGTACAAGTCGTGGACAGAGAAGCTCAACTTGGATCTCCTCGCGAAGTTGGGCACGCAATGGCGGGTCATTAGGGTTTCTAGGATTAATGGCCATGAGACGGGGGAAGTGATAGCCAAAGCTCTAGTTAGAAATTATCCTGACTTTGAGTTCAAGGTATTGTTTTATGCGTATTTGATAGGTGGGAATAAAGTTGATAGCTTTCTATCTGAGGATTATGCTAGATAATATATGGGTTCTTGTAATAAAATTATTCAAGGAAAAAAAAGGAGAAATGGTGGTCAAATATGAGGTAGTACTCTATCTTATTAAAATTGCATTAGTCACAGAAATTAAGCACATGGATTATGTATAGATTCACATTCAAACTAGCAGTTTCAGAATCTCTGTAGAATAGCAAATGTTTTTTTTTTTTTACGTTGAAGCACATAAGAGTCGGTCGTTAGAGCTCATGTCATTCATGATTTTGTTGGTAGACAATGATTGCTTTTGGTGACATTTGTTAACTTTTTTTTCTTTAAAGTTGGGAGTATTCTTCATTGTGATGACAATTTAATTAGATCCTGTTGCTTGCTTAGTAAAATAGAAATCATATCAATATGTGTTGAGTTGAATGGTTAGCAATTGTTTATTCATATGCTAATCTTCCTTCTTGTCCTCCCGAATAGTTTGTTCTTATAGGTTTTTGGCTTAGAATGTTAGTTTTCATGTTAATAACATTTTATTATATTGATGGAATAAGTAATCTTGATGTCACAATTCTCATTTTTTAATAACTCTACAGTTACAAATTGCGTCCTATTTTGTACTTCCCAATTTATCTTGAAAATTCTAATTTTGTTTGTTGGCAGAGGTATGCTTTTATGGGTCTCTTGCTAATTAATATATGTCATTAATCCATGATCTAATTAAATTCTAATTTCATGTTAATAACAATTTTGTTTTGTTTGTTTGCGTCGCTGCTGCTCGGAGCTTCGCTCGCGATGATGGTGTGTGGATCGGTGACTTTCGTTATTGGGTTCATTTTGATGCACTGGGTTCTCGGGGTTATGATGGTGTTTTATTTTCTTGGGATTTTGAGGAACATTATGCGGTTTTGGATGACGTTGTCTTGCTCCATTCAGAAGGAGATTTCGGGTGATAAATTTATTATTTTTTGTGAATTAATGTATATTTGTGGGAGGTGCAACAAAAGAAGGATCTTTGTTAGAAATTGGATTGTTTTAAATTAATGGCTCATTGTGTAACTTCATCAGTTGAGTGAATGGTTCTTATATGTTGAATCTCTACCGTACATTAAACTACATATTATTATTAATTCATGAATATTACCGCTAAGTAAAATTTCAAATTTTGCAATGCAGGAAGATGGTGCAAATGTTACAATAAATTGTGTTCATCCAGGGCTAATCATGACCAATTTGATGAGACATTCTTTCGTCCTAATGAGTATGTGTTTTTGTAATTAAATCTTCATCGAGTAAGTTATCTATTTAAGCTCAAAACGTGATATTTTTTTCTCCTGTTTCTGGCAGAGTTCCTACTATTAGAATTCCTCACCAACTTAGATTATTCTAGAACTACTTTCTAGAACTTCTTTCTAGTAACATCCTACAAAATATCTACCATGAAGTTTCTAGGAAGATACAAGTGTATGGCTAGTATTTATTCTTCTAGAAACTTCTTAGTAATGTATGGCTAGGATTGTTTCTTCTACACACTTCCTAGCCCTCTTAAGCAACTATAAATAGGGGTCTTGGGCTCTTATTTAAGCAAGCAAGAAGTGAGCTTGAGAGCTTGAGTGTGTAGTGTAGCCTTGTGTGAGTGTCCACCAAAATAAAGGAGTTGTGTGAAAGTGAGGTGTACTTGTAAGAACAAGTATTATATTCTCTATTCTATCAATAAAAGTTTTCTTTGTGTAGAGGGTTGCATTCTTCAAATTCCATCACCTATAAGTTTTCACTTATCTCTTCTGGAAGAATGTACCGCGGGTATGAAACCATGTGTAGTCTGTGCATATTGATACAACGCAGACTATACATAATAGCTTATTAATTCTTTTTCAGTTATAGTTTGTTTAGATTAAACTCAAACCGATCCAAGATTTGTGCAAAATTCCTATTAGGCGAGGTGCTTACACGAAACTGCAAGAATTAAAATTGTTTAATCAAGATTGTTATTTGGCCATGAGTTAAGTATAAATATTGGAATGAAGTGATAACAAGTTTCTGTCCATAGGGGTTAGTTCATATTCGTTGATTGGGTTATTGATGAATTTACTATATACATTACTTTAATGAGGAATTCATTTATAAATTGCCATTGGTTCATAGTCATCTGTTGGTTGGATTTATTTATTTTACTAGTGTGTCAACTTTGAATCTAGACTTAAATGGTGCGTTTACAGTTTGTTTCTTTGTGTGAATATCAATGTATCATAATGTCTGAGGCATGTATGAACACATTAACTTGGATCATTTTGACAATCCAAACTTAGTACTGAATTTATTTTATTACATATTAAAAAAAATTGAGAGTTGTATGCTATTTTATTAGATCATTTTCAGATCTCTGATGCTTGGTGATTCTTTGTTTTCTCTTTCTTTTGTGCAGATATCACAAATGGGGTTACCTGCAATTTATCCTTAAGTATGGGGCTTGCAACTCCATGAAATCCACAGACAAGAAGGGGAAAAATGGAAATGATGATTTGCACCAAAAGCATCAATGGTTTGATTGCTAAGGTTATAAAAATGTCGAGGCAAGCTTGGATGGCTTGCTAGTATGCAGGCACCAGCTCACAGCAGTCATTTGTTGGTTTTTTTTTTTTTTTTAACAGAGAGGGAGACATCTTGATTGTTTATGCTTGTAATTTAATGATGATCTCAGGGGTTGACGCAATATTTGGAGCAAGAGTGTGAGAAGCAGGGAATGATTGTAAACAAGTTATGTATCTTTCTATTTTTTTTGATGAATGCATTATTTGAATATAATTGGATTTGATATTGGAATATAATTAGATTACGTTAGATATGAATATGATTTGGTGTTGTACAATATTGTGCATACGTATGATACGTGCAACCACTGGATAGTGCAAACGTGGAAGTGAGTAGTTATGTAGTTGTTTGATTAGTGGATAGTTGTAGAGAGAAGAGTGGTGTTAGTAGTGGGTAGTTGTAGAGAGAGGAGTGGTGTTAGTAGTGGGTAGTTGTAGAGAGGAGTGATGTTAGTGGGTAGAGATAATTAGTGTAGTTATATATAGTTGTTGTAATGAAGATGTTGGTATGAATGAGAATTATTGTTTGCTTATCCTCTAGTTCTTCTCCTTATCTTCCTCTGTTCTTATCTATGTTCCTATTCTTCTTCCTCTATCTAAACCAACCACATCATTGGTATCAGAGCCGGTTCCAACCATGGACACTCGCGGCAAAACGAATGCCGAATTCCGCAATGAGGTCAATGAAATCTTAGCACGACATGAGTCCGGCTTTGATCAAATTAATGCTACCCTCCAAATGGTGTTGACCGAACTTCAAGCTCTACAAACCGTCCGAAGCCCACGTACTAATAATCTTGAAACCAACCCATTTGCTCCAGGAGAATCCTCATATTTGCCACAGGCTGCTCGTTCTACCACCAATAATGACCACCATCACCAACACCTCAAATTGCCCTTTCCAAGGTTCAAGGGTGAGGACCCAACCGGCTGGATCTACAAAGCAGAACAATATTTTAATTTTAAAAATATTGCCTCTGACCAACGAGTTCAGCTAGCGTCCTTCCATCTTGATGACATCGTCCTACAATGGCACCGATGGTTGACGAAATTTCGCGGACCACTTACATGGGATGAATTCACCAAAGCTGTCCTTCTCCGTTTTGGTCCAACAGACTACGAAGACCCGTCGGAAGCCCTAACTCGACTTAAACAAGACTCAACTGTTGCAGCTTATCAAGAAGCTTTTGAAAAGCTTTCTCATCGCGTTGATGGCCTATCTAAAAATTTTCTCATTGGTTGTTTTATTGCATGACTTCGTGATGACATTCGCCTCGATGTAAAAATTAAACAGCCCAAGACTTTGGCAGATGCAATAGGAGTTGCTCGACTAATCGAGGAACGAAATCGGTTACAAAAGCAACCGAGCCAACCATTTCGCTCCCAACCAAATTCCGTGGCACCAAAGGCGACCACCTCCAACCCAACGGCGGGTGTATTAGGTCCTCCACCAGCTCAGAGTGCGAATACAAGTTCAAATACTACAACAACAACATTCCGTCAAATCACTAACCAAGAGGCGCGAGACCGTCGAGAGAAGGGGTTATGTTACTATTGTGATGAGAAGTTCATTTCGAGTCATCACTGTAAACGTCCACAATTATTCATGATCGATGATGATAACAATGTTCAACAAGAAACAGAGAGTCAAGAAGCAGTTTTCTTTCACTATCCTTGCGGACAAGGATCCTTAGGGGGGGCGAATGATACGTGCAACCATTGGATAGTGCAAACGTGGAAGTGAGTAGTTATGTAGTTGTTTGATTAGTGGATAGTTGTAGAGAGAAGAGTGGTGTTAGTAGTGGGTAGTTGTAGAGAGAGGAGTGGTGTTAGTAGTGGGTAGTTGTAGAGAGGAGTGATGTTAGTGGGTAGAGATAATTAGTGTAGTTATATATAGTTGTTGTAATGAAGATGTTGGTATGAATGAGAATTATTGTTGCTTATCCTTGAGTTCTTCTCTTTATCTTCTTCATCTGTTCCTCTTCTTCTTCCTCTATCAAAACCAACCACATCAACGTACATGTGAAATTATATGACATGCAAATCAGATTCTTAAAAAAATGCTACTATAGCATCCTAGACGGAAAATTCCATCTAGGATACTTTCTAAACGGAAAATTCCGTCTAGGATGAGTCTAGCGTCTAGAGTATCCTAGACGGAAAAATTCCATCTAGGATACTTCCTAGACGGTTTTACATTCCGTCTAGAATATTCCGTCTAGGAAGCATCCTAGATGGAAATTCCGTCTAGAATACTGCATCCTAGACGGCAACATACTGGATGCACATCCTAGACGGAATTCCGTCTAGGATAGTTTTCCTAGACGGAAATATGAGTATCCTAGACAGAATTTTTCTTCTAGGATGCGTCATTTTGTACCAGTGTTAGGTGCATAGACATCCCTGTACTTTTTGTTTAAGGACAAAGACATCCCTGTACTTTTGTTTAAGAGACCCCTTGGGTTATGAATTCAGGACGTGTATATCCCTACTCAATTTGAACTGTATTGAAACTCGACAAAGTAGATACTATAGTCTACATTAAAAACATGATTTCACATGATGACCAACAAATCTACATCGAAGGTTATTTTTATATTAATTTAATATCACATGCGTTGCACGTGCAGTCCAAAGTTAATTTGGATTAGATAGTGTTAGTTTCTAGGTGTGATTGCAATAAAAATACCTAAGGGATAGTAAGTGAAACTAAGTGATACTACAGAGGGTGTTTTCGCAATTAACCATTTTTAAGTATAAGAAGTCCCTTGTAGGATGGAGCCCTCTTCCTACCCCTATTTATTTTTTAGTAAAAGCACTTATTTTCACTCAAAAAATAAAAAAAAGGAGTTTTTCATGAGCTTGGTCCTAACAATGGCAATGTGAGCACGTAGGTAATTTGCAGCTGATCTCGCTCCAACACGTGGAACATCCCGTATTCTTTTTCTACTACTGCATATTTTAACAAACTTTTTTTTTAAACTGTGAGCGCTTCAAAAATTGTCGTTATTATTATTATTTGCAATACGTGTCCCTTTCACTCCTTTATATACAATAGGAAATCTACATTTGTGACTCTTTAAGTTTAAAACTTGTCACGCTATAAAAGTAACGAGTTATGATTGTTATAATATTTAAAAAATTTAATGTATTAGATTAATTACATTAAATTTTAAATTTTTAAATATAAAAATTTGACTATAACTTAAGCTCTATTCTTTTAAACATATAAAATCTTGCAACTATTTTAATAAAATAAAAGGAATAATATTCTTCTCTCTTTACCAAAATAAACCACATGCAAGTACTTTAAGCAATGCTCTTAGTTATTTCGGATTGGGATCCTCTACTCATCAATAGTGGCTCCTAACATTTGCTAATGCATCTCCACCTTTAATTTTGTGGGATCCACAAAATGAAAGGTGGAGATGCATTAACAAATGTTAGGAGCTGTTATTGATGAGTAGAGGATCCCAATACACAAATAACAAAAATAACTAACATGTACATTATCAATTTACTACATTTAAAAACCTATATCTGGAAAATATTGAGCTTAGTACGTGTATATATGATGAAGAAGTCTGAATTGCAAAACATGAAATTGATCATCCTAGGGAAAAAAGAAGAATAAGAAGAAAGATATTGTTACTCACTTACAATCGCAGAAGTCAATGTCTTCTAGCCATCGCTGACGTTCTTGTTTCCTCTTATTATCGTGACGCTGCTTTCTTCCCCATACAATGTTATATTTGTTTTGTAGTTTGGAACCTCGATGTACTCATCATATATACCTGCTCTTATTTTGATGATCGCTCGACCATCGCTGTTGTTTAGCGTGAAGGCTATTGCATCCCCTACAACAATGAAAGTGCAGCTCCCATATGGAGCAACGGCCAAAGTCTGCAGCAATTATATACAACATACTGAATCACACGCACACACTTTTTTCACTTTTTAAGTTTTTCAATAATACACAAGCATGTTAGCTAGTATGTATGTTCATATTATATGTATTTACTAACTAGTGTCGATTGATCATCGTGCACCCCTCCATCTGCCAATTGCACTATCACGGTTGTCGAGGTGGCAATGCCGATGAAGATCAAAGTCATGACCAATTTGAAACCTTGAACTGAGCTCATCATCACCAAGTATGGTCTTTTCATTCTTTTTTCTTTCTTTCTTCTCATTCATATTTTATTTTATTTTATTTTATTTTTTGGCGCGGGTGGTAGGGAGTGTGTTGTATGGTGTTTTATATATTGTGTTTTGTTATTGCACTGTGGAGTGTGGACTTGTTGGGAACCAACATGTGCCTAACCATTTAAGTAAAACAATCTCCATATATGGAATGCAAAGATAATTTTGAGTGCGACATTTTATTGGTCGAAATTGAATAAGAAACCAATGTGTATATTTAGACGTAGAGATTAGTTGGACAGTTGGTTTACAAAGTTTTTTTTTGAGGTAAAAAACAGAGCAAGTAGCCATGTTCATGTATATATTAACCGAAAGCAGGTTTACAAAGTTTTAGAGACAATAATATGGGATTGAGTTTATAAGAACCCAACAAAATTGAACCGAGAAGTTGATAGCAACTGTCAATAATACAAGGCAGTGCAATCCCAACCAATTTATCCTTGTTGTTGTGTCCCATTTCCCAGCCCATAATTTGCGTACTCGGCATAGTGCACCTTGTACAATGTCGAACTGTCGCTATTTGACCACTTCCTCCATCCGCTTGGATCGACGATCCTGTTCATATACGACCTAATGTACACCGTGGTTGAGTAATTGCTCCACGGTCGACCCAAGTACGTCTTGACTGACCCGTTGCTGGTACAAAGGACGTGCCACTGCAGGATGGAACAGTTTTACATCGAAAAGCATGTAGCCTTGATTTCACTTTCTCGGCCTTGGGCTGTGATGGCATTGTCTTGCCCTTGCATTGGCAATTTGGCGTAGATCATGCAGTTTTGGAAGACGGCGGAGGCATCACCGAAGATAAAGTCTACGGTGCATAAGATGTTGCACTCTCGATAGGACTGCTGACCACGACGTGCATACAAAGTGAATTGATATTCGTCATTGGCACAACGGTAGAATGCGACGAAACCGACGTCGACGCGCAGCGCTACCGCCTGGCCCTTGGATGCACCTGCTGTGTTCTTGAAACAGATGTCTTGGGCTATAAAGCCTTGGCCCGAGATGGCTGAAATTAATGGAAGCAT